GTGCCAGCTACATGCATAGTGCTGAATCATCACAAAACCAATTTCGGCTGCTGCATATCTGGCCTGAATATTAGACTGAGATGTATAATCTTGGTTGGATTTGATCATCCAGATTTAATGCTATCCTGTTCTGAACTGCTTCAGTATTATCAAACTAATTTATTTCTTATAATTCCTCTGCATCTTTGATGTATCCCTTGCACTGCATGCATTGAGTGCTTATAATATTTCATATTGGTTCTGTTTTGTAGGTGTGTGTGGAAACTATGATGCACCTGACATGTACAAACATGCCAGTAGAGAAGATTGACCATGCCTTGGAAACCATCAAATCCAATGGGATTCAAAATGTTTTGGCCCTTCGAGGGGATCCTCCACATGGGCAAGACAAATTTGTGCAAGTTGAAGGCGGATTTGCTTGTGCTCTTGATTTGGTAAGATTGCATTAATGGCAACATAAATCGTTGAGTACATTGGCATGACATGGGCGTGATGACTAGTTTATTGCTGCTGCAACAGCTGTTATATTTTGGAAACTAGCTCAACCCGTCTGAATCCTCAAAGAAACCACCTCACATTCAAACTTTCTTATGTCTTTTACTTGCAGGTGCAGCATATTAGAGCCAAGTACGGTGATTATTTTGGCATAACTGTAGCTGGTTATCCAGGTCAGCTAGCCATTGCATATCTTTAGAGGGGATGGTTTCAAGTCCCTACCCTGTAAATTGGATGCTTTATCTGAAATACCTTTTCCAAATGTCAGAGGCACACCCTGATGCGATACAAAGCGAGGAAGGTGCTACATTGGAAGCATATAGCAATGATCTTGCGTATTTGAAGAGAAAGGTTCTCTTTACTTTCTTGATTTTGTTTACTTTTCTCAATTCAAAATGATAGCAGAATACATTTTTGTTGGTTCATGAACCAAACATTATGTTGAAAACGAATGTATGATGTTGTAAATCATGGCACTTTGTTGTTTTGTCAAGCATAATATTTTTGTTCCCTTCTCACTCTGTTATACGTTTTATCTGTAGGTTGATGCTGGTGCTGACCTTATTGTCACACAACTTTTCTATGATACCGACATCTTTCTCAAATTTGTGAATGACTGCCGCCAAATTGGTATTACCTGTCCCATTGTTCCTGGCATAATGCCAATAAATAACTACAAAGGTTTCCTGCGCATGGCTGGGTTCTGCAAAACTAAGGTAAGATCTGTTGCTGGTAGTTCCATCATTAGTAATTGTTTGCGGACCATTCAATTATCAATTTTGGCATGGACTTATGCTGTTATGCATATATTAGCTTTTCACTTGGCTGTTTTTTTTTATCTCAATACCTGAATTTGAATGGAGAATAGCTTTCCCACTTACGCGTGTAGGTAAATGTAGTGCTAACACCGTACAATATTCCTCAAGATTAATGAAATCTTTCAAATTCACACCTCCATACTGTTAATTCACAAATATTTCATTGCATGTTTAGGTAAATGTTCTACAGACACCATCTCCTCATAATTCAAACTTTCATGCCATTATGTTAATGGACAAATACTTGCATTTTTTTTTCCAAATGTTTTGAGTTCTCACTGTAATAATCACTTTGAATGTCAAACAGATACCTTCTGAGATCACTGCTGCACTGGATCCTATTAAAGACAACGAGGAGGCTGTTAAACAATATGGAATCCACCTCGGAACTGAGATGTGCAAGAAAATTCTGGCTAGTGGCATCAAGACTTTGCACCTTTACACTCTAAACATGGACAAGTCTGCTCTAGGAATTTTGATGGTAATTTCCATGTCTGAATTTCATTTTTTGTTCTGACCTCTTACTAACAACTATTTTGTCCCCACCAGAATCTTGGATTAATCGAGGAGTACAAGGTTTCAAGGCCATTACCTTGGAGGCCGGCAACTAATGTTTTCCGTGTTAAAGAGGATGTTCGACCTATATTCTGGTAGTGTATTGGAGTTCTTTTATGTTAAGATTAAGATGCTTGAGGTCTTTGTGACATGCTAACCCAGTGTAGTGAATGTTAATGACTGTGCAGGGCCAACAGACCAAAGAGCTATCTTAAAAGGACATTAGGTTGGGATCAGTATCCCCATGGACGGTGGGGTGATTCTCGAAACCCATCATATGGAGCACTTACCGATCACCAGGTAATTTAAGTATCTCTGTGTTCCGGTCTACTTTTTTTGTGTTTACTGCAATGTTTTAACGTCACCTATGCAGTATGCAATATTTTTGTATATTCTCAGGGTGATACAAATTATACATCTTCCAGGAAAAAAGGGTCAAGTTAGAATGAACATTTAATATGATTCGGAGATATTTATTCAGTAATGAAAATATTATCATGAACCCCAAAAGGGTGTTTCACTATAGGATTTTTTCACACTGCCACTGCTACACCTTTATGTAGACTTGATCAACAAATATCTATTCAAAATTACTCAACTTGGCTTCTGTGATGACTATTTGTCGTAAAATCCTAGTTGTATGTAATCATCTATCATTTTAAACAGTTCACAAGACCACGTGGACGTGGTAAAAAGCTCCAAGAGGAATGGGCTGTTCCACTTAAATCTGTGGAGGACATTAGTGAGGTAACTGTTGGACTATGTGATACATGATTGGTCTGCATGGCATAGAAGTTGTCATCTTTTAAAGTCTTTGCTAACCCTTCTTAATGCTGATATTCTCTATATCCCAGCGCTTTACACACTTCTGTCAAGGGAAACTCACAAGCAGCCCATGGTCAGAATTGGACGGTCTTCAACCAGAGACAAAGATTATCGATGACCAGTTGGTGAAGATTAACCAGAAGGGTTTCCTTACCATTAACAGCCAACCTGCTGTAAATGGAGAGAAATCTGACTCGACTACTGTTGGTAAGTTAATTGTATTTTGTTTTATAATAGGTGGCCCTGGGTGTTGAAATATAAGTGAACTGCCCACTTTCCCTATCAGCTTAAGCTTCTAGGTTACTCAACACTGAGAGCAGTATTATAAGCATCTTCCAATTTATTACAGGGATCCTATCCTTGAATGCCAGTACTTCATGTTTTAGTGTCTTGAAATCTTAAGTAGGAATTGTAGTGTCGAGTCAACATTCATGGGTTCATGTCCATTGTAATTATCAGCATAGTGCCACATTGTCAGAGAATCTCTGCTGCATATAGCAATTCTTGGCTTTCCAGATCATCTGGAAATGTCTAGGTCGTTCATGTCAAATACTTGCTCGAACTAGCATGTGAGCCTTTCTGACCTGTTTATTTATGCCCTGTTCTCCAGGTTGGGGTGGTCCTGGAGGCTACGTTTATCAGAAGGCCTACCTCGAATTCTTCTGCGCAAAAGAGAAGTTAGACCAACTAATTGAGAAGATCAAAGCATTCCCTTCTCTCACTTACATTGCTGTGAACAAGGATGGAGAATCATTCTCCAATATTGCAACGAACGCAGTGAATGCTGTCACATGGGGTGTTTTCCCTGGCAAGGAGATTATCCAGCCTACAGTTGTTGATCCAACAAGTTTTATGGTTTGGAAGGATGAAGCATTTGAAATCTGGACACGGGTGTGGGCTTGCCTGTTCCCTGAGGGTGACTCATCTAGGGAGCTACTAGAGAAGGTACTTGTTCACTTCAAATCTTTAGGCTTGAACATAATATTTTGTTCAGTCAAATGAGCTCCATCTGTAACATAGTTTTAGGAGATTTGTTCCTAAAGTGTCATGTTTGCCGTTCACTACTGGACTTTCTGCTAAGAATTTAGAACATCTTGCTGCACTTGGTCTTGAATTGCACCTGTGTTTACAGCATTGATTTTTGTAAGACGAGCCTGCGTTCGCAAAATATGCTAGTGAAACCAATCTACACATATTGTTATCTTTCAGAACTGTATTTTCAAACACATTTCTTGGCTGCTGACTTTCAGGTTCAGAAGAGCTACTATCTAGTCAGCCTTGTCGACAACGACTACGTCCAGGGGGATCTGTTTGCTGCCTTCAAGATCTGATGATGCTCTTTACGGTCTGTGGTGTTGTTGTATGGCTGAATCACAATATTCTTGCTTCCCCGACTACAGGTCTGATCGACGTGAAAGCTTCTGTTCATTCGAGTTCGGGGGAGTCCGCTAGTCTCATTTTTCCTGATTTCTTTTGGCTTACTGGAACTATACGATATCAATAAGAAATGCACTGTGTTCGCTTTCCATTTTCTCCATGTGCATATGGCGCAATGGCTAGTTTGAAGATGTAAAATTCGTCCTTCGTCCTCCAATACACAGGTTGGTATTGTATGTTAGTTAGAAGGATGCGCTGCTCTCAACACTGTATTTGTGCCTCTGTTTGGTGGAAATAAGATTGATCCAAACCTGATGTTCAAAGGTTTCCCCCAATTTGAGCCTAGCTGTTCGCTCTTCGCTGCAGAGCTCCAACTCCCTTATCCCAAGGGAGTTCTATCCAATACCCATAGGTACCACGTGTGCCTGTTGCATTGAGAGACCACCACCACGTGGAATTGCACGCACGGCAGACCCCATCACCCGTTCGCTGATAATAAAAATGTTGTGGCAAAATTCTAAATGGTTCTTTGTTCTGTAATGCTTATTAAGCAGCTGCTGCAACTCACCGCAGTCGCTGCAAGCGTGCGGCATGCCAACACAACGCAGGACAGGTGAGACACACATAAAGTACATGGCAGTATACATGTATAAACAAGAAGAGCAAAATTAAATTTCGTCGGCTCTGTTGAAGAGGAAGTGGAAGTGAACAGCTACACATATATCTACCGTCTGCGTTGAAAGTGAAACTAAAGAATGAGCCGCGCCAACACTGGGCCGGCCGGCTCCATGTACGCTACACCGACACCCCTTAACTCTGTAACCCCGACCCAGGTTCAGGTTCAGGTTCAGGTTCGACTCCTATGCCGTATTTACAGAGTTCGCAACCTTGCAACGCCGTCTTCTCCTGATCCATGGCTCCATCCTCGCCTCAACTCAGAAGGGTCCCAACCCGGCGGCTCCGGCGGGCTGGTTCCCCTTGACCCTGGGCGACGCGAAGAGCGAGGAGTAGAAGTCCTCCCCGGGCGGCGGCAGCATGTCGAGGCCGCTGTACATGCCCTGGATGTCGTCGTAGCTGAGGTCCACGAACAGGTCGCTGCTCTTGGTGGCGTTGGCGGCGGCGCTGCCGTCGTCCACCTGCTCCTTCTTGGGCACCATCATCATCGCCGCCGCCGGGTCCTGGAACGCCGGGAACGAGTCCAGCTCCGGGAACGGTTCGTTGTCCGCGATCTCCGACTCCGGCGTGCGCGTCTCGCCCCACGAGTGCGAGTGCGAGGTGCGACTGCGAGTGCGAGGTGGTCATGTCCATCGCCTCCTCCTTGGTTGTGCCGACGCCGGCGGCGGACTCCTTCCCCAGCTGCAACTTCTCCCACTCGTTCTTCTTGTTGTACAGGCGGCACAACACCCAGTCATCCAGCTGCACAAGCAAATCAATCGAAGATAGAATTAGTACAAGCTAATTTCGTTCAGCACAAATCAAACCAAAGGGATCATCATCAATTCCGAGAAAAATCGGCTTACCCTTAGCGATCCCTTCTTGGCGGCGGCGGCGCGGCCGGCGTCCGCGAGCCTGTACTCGTGCATGATCCAGTCCGTCTTGACCCCGCGCGGCGCCTTCCCGGCGTAGAAGACGAGCGCCTTCTTGATCCCGAGCGTGCGGCCCCGCGGCACGACGGGCTTGTCGGCGCCGGTGGCCTTCCAGTAGCCGTTCCCGGCGGCGCGGTTGGGGCGGGATCCGTTGGGGTACTTGCGGTCCCTGGGCGTGAAGAAGTACCACTCCCTGACCCCGAATAGCGCGCGCTCCGGCAGGTCCCAGGGGTCGAACTTGTAGAGGTCCACCTCCGCGATGATGGGCACCGGGAGGCGCTGCCCCGCCGCCTTCCGGCACAAGTAGTGCTCCACCAGCTCGTCGTCGGTGGGGTGGAACCGGAACCCCGGCGGCAGGTTCAGCTCCGCCTCCGCGTCCCTCTCCCTCCTCACCGGCAGTCCCATGGATGGCTTGGTCTGGCTGCTTGCTGGCGATAAATGAATCCGACAGGCGGCGGCAACACCGAGCGATCGGTCGGTAAAAGCGGTGGCTTTGGCTGCCTGTTTTCTCCGGCCCGCTGTATAAAAAAGCTCGCTCCGGCGGCGGCTGGGCGCTGTCGATGGTGGGTGGCTCGCCTCTCTGTGTCCTATGGATGGGTTCCGCGGTGTTGTTGAAGCTGAGAACCGCGGGCAGGGGATGGATATATAGCGGCGGGCGCGAGCGGTCTGGAAGCTTCGGTCAATGCGAGTCGGCGGCTGCGGGAAAGCGGAGGTGGGTTCGGGAGGGAAAGGGCACGTGTGGCGGGGGGAGCGCGGTGAGGTGGTGGGTTCGCGGAAGGTGGGGAAGGCTCGTGGACGGCCACCTCAGCGGCCCCGGGATTGGACGGGACCGCGCGGGTGGCGTCACGGCCGACCTCAGCTGAATTGGGACCGATGCCTTTTGCACGCCGCGGTTGCTCTGGGGCGGCGTGGTTCTTGTGTGGCCGTGCAGCGGCGCAGGTGCAGTGCAGGAGGCACCGTTTCATTCATGGCTGCGGGGCGGCACCGCACCGCCGCACCGGCGCTGGATGCAGAGAATTTCGTCCTTTGGGGGCCGGGTGCGTGGCGTACTAGTTTGTGATGAGAAAATGAATTACACATGTCTCTAGTACGTGTCGGTAGACAGAAAAGAGGGTGTGAGGTGATAGATACATGCGTGCGTTGTCAATGAACGGGAGTGATACTTATCGGTTCGAATTAATTTCATTTCATTTTATTCATTCTTCACGAGCCACAGCCTGTGTGAACCGGCCGAGAAGTGGTCCGTTCACCGAGAGCATTCGTCGTGTTAGGAGTACATACAAGCGTGGCGTGTTCCTTTCACCGAGAGGATTCGTGTACCCTGCCGGTAAGCGATGGTGCCTACCATCGACTGTACTCTGTGTAGATACTGCTACAGGAGTGTAGTTGCAGCACGCAGACGGCAGACGAGCACACAAAAAAAGGCAAGCAGGCGCGGATAACCCACTACTACCCATCATGCATTTCGTCGGAATCGCGACCACCTATCGGGGTGCGCCCACATGCACGCGCGCTGGGCATGCATCCAGAAGATTCCCCCGCTGCCTCAGCACCCCTATCTATCCTCTCGTCCCCGGAATTCGCCACGCAAAAACTATATATTATTTTAAATTTAGAAAGATATCGTACTGTCGCTCCGGCGGTTAGCCTATGCGTAGGCGTAGCGGCACCATCCCCCGGATCCCCTGCCAGTGCCATGCCCCGCGTACGTGGAGACCAAGCCACCGCGCCGCGCCAGACACATGCCGGCTGAGGACGACGCCGACGACAGGCGCGGCAATGATACTGGCACGTGGTGCGCGTCGACACGAGTCCCGCCACTGTGACCCCGGCGGCGGCGGCGCTGCCCGCCGTGCCCCGTGCCCGCGCCCGCACCCGCACGGAAGAAAGTGGACAGGCAGGCAGGCGCCGCGCGCAGGGGGGACGCGTGGCCAGGCCAGCGGGAGGCACGTGGTGGACTGAGTCGCAGGCGCGCGACGTGCGGGGGTACGAGCCGCGGTGCCGTCGCTGTCGGGTGTCCATGCTGGCGTGCGTTCCCGGGTGCCGTGTGCCCGTGTGCGTGCTCGCGGACTGGGACTGACGTGCCTCTACTTGACCACCGCCGCCGCCGCATCATGTCGGTCTTCCTATCCGCGGCGCGCGGCGGAGTGAGACGGCCGGAGACGTAGGGTACGGAGCCGGTGGTGCTCGTCTCGGGCGGTTTGACGGGCGGCGCTCGCGCACCTACACCCCCCTTACCTTGGGTGTTTAGTTGGGCAAAGTCTGCGTAGGTAAATTTTGCATAGTGAAGATTTCCTAATGTAACATTTCGTTTGTATTTGTGAATTATTATCCAAACATAGACTAATTAGGCTCAAAAGGTTCGTCTCGCAAAGTTAAAGCAAACTGTGCAATTAGTTTTTGATTTCGTCTATATTTAGTACTCCATACATGTAGCGTAAGTTTTATATGACGGATAATTTTCTTTTTGCATAGCGTACTTTTCAGGAGTTCGGAGTGTGCGTCTGGTTGCATTGGGAACCTATACCACACAGTGACACAACGCACGAGTGCACGGCTGCACGTATGCCAGGGAACGGAGGACTTTTGGACCTGTGCTTGCGTGAGAAATCGTGTTTGAGGAAGACCGTATGGACGTCTTTAATTATCTCGTTCGTTCTTATCCATCCAGATGCAGGCCGGTCACTGGACCTGGGGACGTGGACGTCGTGCTAAGCTAGCTACTAGGAGCAGCCCCGACCCCGAGATCGAAAGCAACACGTGCTACGGCCGCCCGGTGCACTGAACCTGCTGCCTGCCAACTTGGCAAAGACGGGAGGATTACTCCGTCGTTGCCCTGCGGAATATCTACCTCACTGGTACATTCCCGGTATTATGCTATTCGCTCATGCCGCTATTACGGTATTACCACGGCAGAGTAGGAGTACTCGGCTCTTCGTCGGCTAGACCGAGGTAGTGATCCACAGGATCAGTCAACGCACCAGACACCCCGGTACCGTGCCCGGAAAGTCAAAAGCGTCAGCCGTCAGATTCCGTGCACTGAACCTGCTAGTAGTCGCAGTAGTGACATCTTTAATTTGCGGCTGCAAGCAGGTCGCTAAGCTACAGGCCGGCGTTCACTGGTCAATTAGCGACCGCCGGAGGTTAGTTGAGCGTCACGGCACTGTCAGAGAGAGCATCGCGCTCGGAATTGCCCGGCGCGCGGCGCGTGGCCGTGGTAGCGGGCGCGCGAGGTCTCTTGTTCACCAGTACCAGATGTCCGCCTGTCCCTGTCCGTGTCCGCGGCGGGCCAAGTGGGTAAAAAAGCGTACGGCTGCCATGCCGCGCGGGCGTGCGGGGGACGACACGGGCCACGGGCCACGTTCTTCGGAGCACTGCCGGCCGGGGAAATATCTGGTGACCGCCCAGGCGCGGGAGGCGAAAAAGTGAGGGGGGAAAAATCCAGCCAGATCGCGTCGCCCTTCACCGGCGGCGGTGGACGGCCGGACGCTGGCTGAGACGTGCGCTCTGCGCGGCTACGACATGTGTTACGCGCCGCTTGGAGCGCCAGATGAGACATGCTTGACCGGCACGGCAGGAAGTACATACGGCAGGAAATATCAGTGCGCGCCTCACGGTTCGTATTCTGGATTATGGGGCGTGGTACATGTTCAGCAGGGTGGCATGCCTGGTTCCATCGTTCAACGCCTCGGTGTAGTGCGTCCTATAATTAGGATTCAAATATCTTTAACCAGCTATCCTCTTATATTACCTATCTCACTAGTAGATAAACGAGCTGTAATCCTGGTTCTCAACCCTCTTCAGTCCCGGTTTTAGAACCGAGAGCACAAATCCGAGACTAAAGAGCTCCTCCTTTAGTCCCTGGTTAGGTCCACCTTTAGTCCCGATTGTTAATACCAACCGAGGCTAAAGAGCCCTCTCGGTCTAGCCACGTAGGTGGTCCCTTTAGTCCCAGTTGGTATTACCAACCGAGACTAAAGGTTTTATTTTTTTTTTTTTGTTTCTATTTTCAATTGATGATTCGTTTTGGTTTTCGAATACGCATTCTACGCCGCTAATAATATACGTATTCTACACGTTTATAATGTTCGAACATTTTGTACAAACTAAAGTATGAAACTAACGTATATATTACATGCATATACATATATTATACGTTATTTTATGTACATATAATATGTATATATATATATATACAAATAAAGCTTGCTTTGTATATTCTATTATATCCTTAGAATAATAAATTCACTCTATCTGATTTGGCTTCCATGTTTCGTTGATGTCATTGTAGAACTCACCGACGGGGTTTAGGACCTGGTCATTAAGAAATCTGCTATGATCTCTTAAATTTCTTTCAGTTGGTCACGTCGTATGACTTTTTTCTTCAACCATAGATGTCAATAAAAGTTAAAGGAAAAAATATATACATATATATATATATATGTGTGTGTGTCATGTGATTACTTATATATATGAGCAATAAAAGAAATTGTGAATATATGAATATATTTATATAACGTACTTTGAGCATCTCTTCAGGAGTTCTTTTTGAGTACGCCATGATGAACTCGCAAACATAGTATCCGTAGTAGTTGTTCCCTTGTTCTTGCCTCAGAACCCACTTTTACGAGAAAAAAGATCCGGAGAATTGAAAGCATGCATAGTGTTAATTGAATAATGTAGCTAGTACTTACTTTGTGTGCGATTACATCCAGTGACGTTTTGCAATGTTTCATGTGGTGTTCCTCAATGAAATTTTTTCAAACACTGCGCCCAATAAAATAAAAAAAATTAATTTGGCCTTTAATAATTGTTGCAGTTAAGAGATCGAGGTATATATAGTTGCTAGAGAGACAAAATTACCCTTGGATAATATCTATCATGTCTTGGTATTCTGTTTGCGCTTTTCTTAACGAGTCTAAGATGCTCAACCGACTATTGGCCATATCGATGACCATCAATATCCAGTGATTGCTGCATATATTTTTATACACAGATATGATCGACATTAACTAGAGTCAACATATATATATGGGAGATAGCTTAGCTAGCTAGTAAGCAAATAATTGAACAAATGTCCATATGATCGACATTAATTATTTAACACTCACTTGAATTTGTAGGGGAAGAGTATGTCCTTGTTTTGTTGGTTCACTAAGAACCTCATGAGATTTTTCTCGAGTTCAGCTTTCCATTGAGGCGGAGGATGATGGTGTTTGAATACGACATTTGGATCAACGAAACCAACATTATTATCTTTTCTCTTTGTGAGTTCTGTCATCTCATATCTGCATATATAAAAATATAGTGTGAGGATATATAATTTATATATATACATGTAACTTTATATATATACACTTTAATAGTAGAAAATAATCACACTTACAGACAATAGCAGTTAATGA